TGGGTATAAGTTGTTGGAGGCCTTGGTGGATTTGGATAACCCACAACCAAATTCACTCTCACCGGTTGAAAAACAATTATGGAGGAATTTGTGGAAAATTAAAGCCCCGCCGAAAATAAAACATTTTATGTGGCGTGCTCTTTCTGGTGCTTTAGCGGTCAAACAACGTTTGACTACTAGGGGTATTCCGGTAGATCCAACATGCCCCGTTTGTGGTAATGATACTGAGAGTATTTGTCATGTCCTTTTTACTTGTGATAAAGCTCGTATCACATGGGAGCAAGCTAATTTTCCCGTCCCCATAGGTGGTTTCTCTCGGAATTCTACTTTTTTGAATTTTGTACATCTGATCAAGATGGGTACTAGTTCTACTACGGATATACATACGCGGAATGTATTCCCATGGTTGTTATGGGAAATCTGGAAAGCTCGAAATGCTTTTATTTTTGAAAATAAAGTCCTACAACCAGCGTATATTGCTAAATGTGCCTATGAAGAAGAAGCCACATGGTTTGATACTTTCTCAGGTAAAAAAGATGATAGGGGTGCAGATGTTGAACCGGTACACGTGGGTTGGAAGAAACCATCAAGTGGATTTCTTAAATGTAATGTCGGATCCTCATGGGTAAATTCTAACCATCTTTCTGGTGCCTCATGGATTCTAAGGGATGAACATGGTTCTACTATCATGCATAGTCGTCGATCCTATTCGTTCATGCGTACCTCAGTTGAGGCAGAGTTATGGGCCTTGTTTTGGGCAGTGGAGTGTATGCATAACCTGCGTTTCTCGAATATAATCTTCGAAACCGCGTCCGACAACCTCCATGATGTTATCATAAATACTGACCACCACCAAACCTTCAGCCATATACGTCACAGCATCTTCTTTCTCCTCTCACGGATACGTTCTTGGAGTTTAGAACACGTTCTCCCCGATCGCAATGGATCAGCTGCGTCAATTGCTTTAAGTGTTACTCGGGATTTACGTCACCAATCTTACATTGCCCGTATGGGTCCGGTATGGCTACATCATCTACTTGCTTTGGAGGCTCAACAATAGAAGATTTGGGTGAGATTTGTTTTTTCCCTTTTTTGGTGTCTACTGACATCTCCCTCTCTTTTTGTATGTTTTTTTATGGTTTCTTTTAGTTGTCCAACTCTGATCAGTGTTATAAAAAAAAAAAATAGTTTACTTAAACACTAAAATTTGATTTCCTAAAATGTAGCCTTGTGTTAACTTCACTATTATGTATTATAAATTTATTTCTGATCGAAATACATTTATTAGCCATATTGCTTGGAAAGAAGTCATAATGTATATTTGTTCTTTAATACACCGCAAACTATAAAAGCTTTCCTATATGCCAAATAATTAAAGGAAACGTACTTGTAGATATTTTATTTACTTGTTTTAAAACTAATAACCGTGTCTTAATAAACAGATTGATAACTGGTTTTGGTAAAAATAAAAACACACAATTTTGATTTCTAATATGCTCTTGTTTGGTATGGTTGTTCAATATTTACGATCACGTGAGAACTTGAATAGTCTAACATATGATTCATATCAGGCCTAAATATCACTTCTTAAATAGACCATTTTTTACACTAAAATATACTAAATTGGATATTTGTGTTGACCAAAAATGAACCTGTATAATAATTATATAACTAGGTGTTGACCCGCGCCCTGCGCGTGGTGAGATTATTTTGACTTTGATCGAACAATAATTTGGTATATTAATTTGTTTAACTAAAAATAGGTAGTAGATGTGAATTAGTAATAAAAATCATATAGTCATATAATGAGATATTAGTATAACTGCGGAACGAAGCATTGATTCATAGCTATTTGTTTTCACTTTTTGTCTTATATATCTGTTTGTCTTATAGATACATGATGATACAAAAAAATTAAGAAATCGTCTACTAAAAAAAGTCGTAAATAAATTAAAATAATTAATATCATAATAAAACATAGAGAAACAAAACATGATATAATGAGAAAAAAATATATTAAAATAAAATAAGTAAACTTTATACGTCAAAAAGAGAAATAGAATAAAACTCGATCATTTCTAAAAAATTTAACTTACTCTAGCATCGAGGAAGACCATTTCGATAGTCTCCCCATCAGCTGCAGAATACTCTTTCCAAAGGCGGACAATTTTCACTTGAACCTTCCATTGGTTCTTGAAAGGCTTCAACTGAGATATAAGGTTCATGGCGGCCATAGAAGATGTGTAGGTTTATTCTTGCTTGTCTGAATATCAAATGGAGCTTTAGAACTCGAGTTATATATGTTTAAATAGCATTTACATTTGCGATTTGCGCTTGTCTATCAAGGAAAC